TCCAGTCTGGGTGACAGAGTGAGACTCCAACTCAAAAACAAAAAAAAAAGATTGGGCCCCTTGTAATACAGGCATTCCCCCACTAGGTAAACGTTCTAGGAACCCATTGACATCAGTATACCAACTAACCTTATTATAGGAGACTGTGTTCTTCCTTAGTGAATTTTTTTGGAGATTCTTTCAACATGTTTGCCCATTTCCTGATGGGTGATTCACAAGTGCACTTGCCCACACCACGCTGAGTGGTCAGCAGTTTTTGACCCAAAACGACACGACCCCCGTGCCCCACTCTCCCTGTTCACCAGTCTTGCCCCCATCGACATTTTTGTTTGTTTCCCTGATGAAAAAATTCCTCAAGGGAAACATTTTGCCGATGAGGAAGAGGTGAAACAAAAATGGCAGAAAACACTAAAAGGCATCAAAAGCAACAAGTTCAAAAACTATTTTGAGCAGTGGAAAAAGTATCTCGGTAGATGTCTTACATCAAATGGAGAGGACGTTGAAGGTGACTGAAGTTTAAGCACATGAGTATAAGTATGTTGGTTTTGGTCAAAAACTGCTGCACACTCAGAGCCGTGCTGTCTAAATCACCCATCATAAAATGGGCAAATGCATTGAAAGAATCTCCAAAAATAATTCACTGAAGCTGAATGCAGCTTCTCACAACAACACTAGCTGGTACACTGATGTCGATGGGTTCTTGGAACACTTACATAGTGGAGGAAGTATTCACACAGATACTCAGTCTAGTTTAAAGCCTGAACTCTTTATTTTGCTGCCCATCTGATGGAGATCTGAGAAGAGTACAGGATAAATGCAACATGTGCTTCTTACCTCTGTGCCTGGAACATAGTAGAAGTTTCACTAAGCAGAGTTGTATCTGTCATAGTTGTACATACATACAAGATAGCATTCAAATATCTGACTGTGGGCTATTAACAATGACTGCAGCTCTTCTAGCTAAGTCTTTATATTCAGATATAGGTTTAACCTTCACTAAATCTTGCAGATGTTTCAAAACTTTTAGATAGTCAATATCAAATAACAGAATATTTAAATTCCAGCCAGCTCCTTTTAAAAATTTTTTCTAATTTTTTAATCTTTTAATTTTAAAGATGTGGGGTGCAATTCAGGGTTAGGTATACAAACATTGATTACGCAGGTACCCTCGTTGATGAGGCGTGCGCCTCCCTCCCCTAGCAGTTTCCCTCAACTGTCAATCCCATCCCCCCCACCGGCAGTTTCCCCAATACTGCCAATCCCTTTCTTACAGTAATATGATTATTGTTCAAGGTCTGCTTATAAGTGAGAATATATGGTACTCTGATCTTGTTTCTGTGATAGATCACTGAGTGTGATCGACTCTAAATCTATCCAAGTTGCTGCAAAGTCCATATGTTTGCCCTTCTTTATGGATGTGTATATGTACCATACTTTTCATCCAGTCCAGCTTCAATGGGCAGTATGGTTGGTTCCATGTTTTTCTGTTGTGTATAGAGCTGCAACAAACATGCGTGTGCAGGTATCTTTTCGGTAAAATGACTTGAGTTCCTCCGGGTCTATTCCCAATAGGGGAATTGCTGGGTCATATGGAAGGTCAATTTCTAGTTCTTTCAGAAATCACCACACTGTCTTCCAAAGAGGTCGCACTAGTTTGCATTTCTACCAGCAGTGTAGAAGCGTTCCTTTTTCTCTGCATCCTCACCAGCTCCTTTGATATCAAATTACTGCAGCCTATATTTCTGAGAGTGGCCCATGGAATTATGCTAAAACAGTATTTTTCATGCTAAATCCTTTGCACCACTGAATTTCTTATCTCTTTTTCTTCCCAAATATGTCCCTGCTGACCGTGCCTGGTCCTAGGAGCCAGTGTTGCAGATGAGTCATGTTTCAGCAGGAACGAAGGCGGGTCAAGGTATGGGTACTGTCAGAAAGTGGATGACACATACATTCCTTGTAAAGCAAAGTAAGTGGCCTTGTTGCTTGAACATTTCCTGTTCCTCAGACGAGGGCAATGGTATACTTCCAGCCACACATTATGGTTTATTCAATTAAAGGGAAAACAAATTTGGACATCATTCATTTGACAAACATATATTGAGTGACTACTGTGTGCCATATTGTGTGTTAGGAGCTAAGTTTAAAAAGACAAATACAAAATATTCTCTTTATTGTAGAGGTGATGTCTCTCCAAGTTGTCCAGACTGGTCTCAAAACCCCCTGGGCTCAGGCAATACTCTTGCTTCAGCCTCCCAAAGTCCTGGGATTTACAGCCATGAGCCACCAACCCTGGCTCAAAATGATCTCTTTTTTTCAAGTTCTTTGTGGTGAATGCTTTAGATGGCATCAAGTACAGCCATTGTTAAGTAGAATGAATGTGTGTGCTGAAACATGCAACAAAGAATGAACCTGGTTGGAAATTTGTCCAGCCATTTTCCAGTACACTTTAGATGTTTTTCCAATGTAGTGTTTTTCATTATAAGCCTAGGAATAGAAATATTTATCTAGAGTATTAATTAGTACAATGCTCATATAGTTTCATTTATACTTGTCATAAATTACATGATAAAAAATTACAATAAGAGAAAATATTGACAATTATCTAAAGAGTTTGTTATTATTAGTATTGCTATCCTGGGAACAAATTATAGAGTATCACACAAGATGAAATAAAAATTTTAAAAAATTCTACAATTTAAGATGACTTTTAAAATTCAAATTATAGTCTGTACCTGCTCAGAATTTTACACATACAAGATAGTTTATAGCAAGAGGTTGAAAAAGATCAGTATTTCCCCAAACTTTTCTACCAAACACTAATTTTGCTGGATGCCAGATATAACCAAAACAAACCACGCTTTGGATATAGGGTTATCTCTTTTGAGATAATCATATGCTATGATCTCTCCTTTATTGAAAATCGAGGTAGATTCATAGGAAAAAAATATGTGAAAGATAATATTGTGGAGGCCAGGAGAATGGCAATATGTAGAAGGTGAGTAGGAAAAGAGTAGAGTTGTTCTACCTTTCCTCTGCAGCGTGTGCATGTATCATTGTCCTATATAACTCTTTGCATGGGCATCAGATGATTTCTGCAACTAGAAGCTCAAGCATCTCATTCACTCCCATAGACTGCCCTGCTAGTCACTTTTTTTTTTTGAGTTGAAGTCTCACTCGGTTGCCCAGGCTGGAGTGCAGTGGCATGCTCACAGCCACCCCAGCATCAATCTGCTGGGCTCCGGCGATCCTTCCACCTGAGCCTTCCAAGCAGCCAGAACTACAGGCGCGGACTACCAGTTCCAGCTACTTTTTAAAAATTTATTGTAGAGACAAGGTCTCACCATGTTGCCCAGGCTGGTCTCAAACCCATGGGCTCAGGCAATCCTCTCGCCTCGGCCTCCCAAAGTGCTGGGATTACAGGCTTGAGTCACCACTCCTGGCCTAGTCATTTCTTAATGGTCAATTGGTGGTAGTGGAGCCTGAAATTCCCTGTGCCCAGGGCCATCCTCATATAGCTCTGCCTAAATGGTTCAAGAAAACATGCTTTCAAGTGTGAAGAGAATGCATACCTTTCCCCACTCCTCAAACAGATTTTCAGTAGCTATCAGAGACATCAGAAAAATCGGATCTCCTCATTTTAGAATAATTCCTCACAGCCCTCCTTTGAATTCTGCATAAAGCAGATGACTTCAGTATTATTGACTTTGATTTTATTCCCATTGGCAGTACATGAATGGCTTTCACGAGTGCTGAGCAATTTAATCTGCAGACACAGAGACAGCTCTTTAATAACTCCACTTGGTGCCCTGGAATGTCAAGGGATGCCCAGCTTTGAACTGACACAACTAGAGTGGGTAGTTGAGTTTTATCTGTGAGAATTATTCTGCTGCAAGTCACAAGAATAAATAACTTTAGCTGAACAAGATAGAAACTAACATACCAGGCACTTTCCGTGATTTAAGAAATCTATTCTTTTTTATCTTCCAGTTCCGCCATACCTCTGATCTTGGTCAGATGGTTCTCGGTCTATAATGGGGCTTCTTCACTCCAGCTATTACATTCCAGTCAGCAAAAGGGAGAAAGTATAGAGGAATAGAAGATACTCCCTCATTTAGGGCTTCCTTCCAGAATTTGTGCTTAATATTCTCTTTCCCATGGGCAAGAACTTAGACAATCTGCAAAAAGATAGTTGTACAGGAATCTGTTTCCTTTATTAACAATGTATTTTACTAACATTCAAGGGTCTTATTAATGAGGAATGGGGGAAAAAAGTATAAAATACAATTAGAATTCTTTGCTACCAAAACCAACCATTACTGAAATATTGATTGCTATAGAACTGATTTGCATTTACATAAAACTACAATTTGAATTCCGCAATCAATTTTGACTTTTTCCTCAGTGATACCATGTGTGGAAAGCTGTTCTGTCTAGGTGGGTCCGATAACTTGCACCGGAACGGATGGATAGTAACTTTCCAGAAATGTAAAGTGTTTGATCCTGAAGACAGAAGTATAGCAATAGACATGGTGGCCAATGGTACTAAGTGTGGAAATAACAAGGTAATTTGAAATTGTGGCTTTCACTCAAAATGGTTTTATTGTTTGTTTTGCTTGGCTTTACTTTGGTTTTTGTTTTTGATTTTTTGTTTGGTTTCTCAGTTATTCACTACTTGCTTTGTTTCTCCATTTGGGAGTTCATCATACCTTAATACAATGGAAAAAGATTTGAATTTGGGACATTGAACGGTTTAAGAAATGAGAATGGTGGAGAACTTCTTAAATAGCAAGAATAAGTATAGTCATTAACATTCTCAAGCATGATGGTGAAAATTGAAAATGATTGACTCCCATAGACATGATTTCAAGAAGAATATGATATTGTCTTGCTAATAAAACATAATAATGTATGTTTTACTTTGTAGACTAAGTCTGGAAACCACGGAAAGTACCAGTGTATGTATGCAATACTGGACTTCAATGAACAGATTCGTATATTCATTAACAATATAATGAACTCAAAATCTCAGCCTCAAGTTCTGCTTAACCAGCGCTAATGACCTTTGATAATTAGGAGTTTTATTTTCCAAGGAGATTAGGGTGATCCTATTTATTTCATTGAGATATCTATGTGATCCAAGAGCTTCCTTGACTTTTCATTGTGAGGAAGCCGATTCTAAAAATTTTATCTTATTTATTTGTACTGTTTTAGTAACTTGGATGTAAGTTTATTCACTGATGAACCAAAATAATATTTGTGGTTCAGTGTAGAGAATGCTCTAGGAAGTTTTGGAAAGCAAATATAAAAAAGTAAATGAGATTGACATGGCCTCTGAACCCATCATGGAGCTGAAAACAGACATTTAGAAAAGTTTATAAACATTGCTGATTTACCTTCTTTCTTTCCCCAGTGTTTTCTGAAATAGACACCAGCATCAGGGGCAAGACCCATAAAGTAGGCAAGGTCCTTAATTGGACTTCCCATATTTCAGATACTAATTGTTTTATGTTTTTGAGTGTTGATGGTCTTAAAGACATTAAGACATTCTCACATGACCAAGCATGAGTTTTGTAGTACTTGGGCCTTAAAGGCCGAGGAACTCTTGGACTGTGGCAGAATTCAGGTGTTCCTAGGTCCCCAAGCATTAAGATCATCTCATTATTATTACTCATCTCTCAATTTCCAGTTGCTTCTGAGACATAGAGTACTTTGAATATTTTTATACATAAATGCTTAGATAGACTTTATCAACATTTTGGGGTTGTTTTAACTAAGGGAATACCATGAACAAGAGTCCATTTCCCTTACCCTTCTGCTGCACCCTTCCTTACCTGCACTTTCATGATAATGAGGACTGTGCATCTTTAACCCCTCCCATGAGTGATAATAACATGCCACGCCTTTAAACAGCATCTGTTAGCCTCTTCACGTGTACCTACACTTTCTCATCTATATCCAGAGAGGATGCAATTTCATGGCCTCTACTGCTTTATTTGACATTTTTTGTGTAGCATTATTCCTGCCAGTCCCTCAGTTTCCCTTTTTACTTCTCAATTACAAATTATCATCCCCTTATCCATTATCAAAGATATGTAATTTGCTTTTGATTTTAAAATATTTATTTTCTTAAGGCATCTGCCACACTATAATTACAGCCAGTTTATGTGCTGTATCAGTTAGGATGCTTTAGGTTACAGAGGAAAAAAACCAAAACTATGCTAAAATTGACTTAAACAGTTAGGATGTTCATTAATTCACATAACCATATGTCCAAAGGTAGAGGAATATGGCCTGGTTAATTCAGTGGTACAACGCTATCATCAAGCGCTTTGGTTCCTTGTATCTCTAGTTCCCGCTCTCTTCAGCATGCTGGCATGACCATTCTGGTGGCCACACTGATGGTCCAAGATTGCTGCCCAAATTCCAGATATTAACAGCAGAGGCAGAAAATGAAAGGTTTTTCTCATGCATCTTTTCTTAAGAGTAAATACATTTTCCTTAGAAACATCTTTCCAGCAGACATGACTTCCTTTTCTATTACCCAGAATTTTATCATCCACTTACTCCTAAACCAATACCTAACAAAATAAAACAGAATTACCACATTTGACCTACAGTCATTAAAGTTCACACCTGGAACTAGGAAACGCCTCAGTCATTCCATGTAGCTCATGAGCATCCAATATATTAATAAAGTCAGATGTCTCTGGCAAGCAACACAATTCTCCATACATGTTAAACAATTTGAAGCACAAAAAGTAAACAAAGATGCAAATAAAACCTATGTGAAGCACTCCAAGTCAGCCTAATGCCTCATTCAAATAAGGGTTACATTTTCTGAAGAAAAACAACACAATGAAATGCAGGTGCCATGGTGAAAAAGCAGAACAATCCAACTCAAAAGAAACAGAACCAAAGCCTCAGTAAATCTGGATTTAATGCTGAAATTTTCACACCCGCTTTTAGGAATGAAACATCTTATTTACACAAAATCCCATGTGGAAGCCCAAACTCACAAAACAAAGCAGAGCTGCTGTAGGAAAAGTAAGGTGGAGCACAGCTTTCAAAGTAATTCATGTGGCATTAATTTACGCATGCTTGCAGTCATTTCTTCAATAATATATAACACATGCCTATTATGTGGTTAGCACTAGAGTGTTAAACTTAAATGTTAGTGCTCCCAAACTGGTAGGTACTCAATAACTGATAGTCAAAATGATAAAAGGAAAAACAGTAAGGTAATGTATTTTTTACATAAATGATCATTTTAAAAATACTGCATGTCATGTGATATCAGCATATATTTTCCATAATATTTGTATTTGTAACGGGCACCTGATGTAAGACACAATGCTTAGTTCAAGTCAGTCTTACGTGTTAGACTGAAGGTGTGGATTAAGGGAGTGACCTATGAGGAATGAGGTAAAGGGAGGAAGTCTTCTTTAAAGAGGGCTTTCTAAATATTTTATTACAAAAATTGTCAGATTCCATCTTCCTTTTTCAAAAAAATGCTCTAGTTTTCCTATTGAAGAGGTAAATTTGATAGCAATAATAGTGACTAACAGTATAAGACTAAATCCCAAGGAGTCAACTGTTGACAGAGCTGAAACTATTGAGTATTAACATCAATGTCGTATTTTTCACATCACTTTCTTTCAGGTTTGCATTAATGCAGAATGTGTGGATATTGAGAGCGCCTACAAATCAGCCAACTGCTCATCTAAGTGCAAAGGACATGCTGTAAGTTTTGAAAATATATTTCCCCAAGCTTACTGTGTTTTGTGCAATTTTGGGTCAGACATGATGAAGCTCAAGTACCGTTTTCAGCATTAAGTGATTAGAATAATTACATTTGTTCAACCCCTCAGTAGCACGGTTCAACGAAAATTTCTTCCAACAACCTACTAATGAAATTCCTATGATTCATTCGTATCTTATGTAAATAGATGAAGACCTGGAGATCAGGGGTTATTCCTATTTCAGAATGGTCTGTGCTATGGATAAACAGGGCTATAGATTTTGTGGTCAGTCTAGTGCGGGAACTAACAAGGATTATTGCTCCTCTAGGTGTGTGACCATGAGCTCCAGTGTCAATGTAAAGAAGGATGGGCCCCTCCCAACTGTGATGATTTCTCAGTGGTCTTCCGTAGGTAACATTACACATCTAGCCTGAGAAAAATGCTCTCCTCATTCAAGCCCTTAGATTGCATTATGGAAAGTTTTTTCATTGTCTCTTTTGTCTCTTCTTGAAACTTCTGTTCAATAGATATTAAACCCACACTATTAATTCCCAAAGTCTCTTTAACAACTTTATAACTCTTTAATCATATTTTCCACATGGTTGTTTTTACTCTACAATCAAATTTTATGTTTGTAAGGTGATTTTTAACTTCTCAAAGTCTTTTACTTTATGATTGTTCTATGTTCATAGCTGCCTCAACTTGATGGATAGATATAATATCCTAATAAAACTCTTTAAGAACATATATTATTTTTGTAGGTTCTATTCTAATTATCTCTGTTTCTTTTGAGTTGGATTGTTCTGCTTTTTCACCATGGTACTTGCATTTCATTGTGCTGTTTTTCTTCAGAAAATGTAACCCTTATTTGAATGAGGAATTAGGCTGACTTGGATTGCTTCACATAGGTTTTATTTGCATCTTTGTTTACTTTTTGTGCTTATATTACTTGTGTGGCCTGTGTGCTTGTAACATATATTTTGTGTGCTTGTGTTACCCATACCCTTCCTAATAAGAAATCTGGCTGAGGGCTCTATCTGTGGGTAAGCAGGTCTCCCTACAGGACATCGGGTTGGGAAGGAGCCAGAGTGGGGTTGCCCACTAACAACTGCCATAGTGAGGAATGGTTTACTGTGAGGAGGAAGCTTCTCACTGTATTTCCTCCTGAGAGAGCTACTTTTTCTCATTACTCTCTCTTTGACTCTCCCCTCTGTCTGATATGGTTAAGGAGAGTAAGCCTCTGTCCTGCTTCTCCTGTTTCTACATTCCCCCTCATTGCAGGAACTGAGAACAATGCTTGGGGCTTTGTTGTAGGGGCATAAACCAATGCTTTAGGAGCATAAACCAATCTTGTGCTGTATACAGATGATGGAATGGACCAGAATGAACTCTCTGTCCCAAGTATAGATTTCTTGTTAGGCTTTTCAAGAAATAACAGAATTTATTTCTGATGTTTATGCTATAGTTTGCTATTTCTGTTTACATAAATCCCTTAACTTTCTATCTTTCTGGAGATTTAACAAATTGTTATTTTTTTCTAGGTCTGTATGAATTATTATCCACACACATGTATTTTCCATATATTTGGGTAGGAGGAGGGTAGAATCAAGAACATAATTACTTTAATTAGAAAACACTAATAATTTTAATGATCACTGAAAATCATTTTAAACTATGACTTTTCTCTTCTTGAATTCTTTATTTTGATGTATCTATTGATTGGTTAAGTCACCTCCATGAGTAATTTCTTCTTTCGGGAAGAATGTGTCTACATTAGGCTCTCTTAGTTGCATTTATGAGAACTTATTTGTTGCTAAATATTTCTGCTAATATTCTTTATCATAGAATGCATAGCAGGTTGGATTCGATTGGATTTTTAAAATCACAATTTCTTTGATCTCCCCAGTCATTGTTGATGGAGGCTTTGCCAAAGATGTATTGGTGGAGAGATTGAGGTTTTGTTTCCAGAATCTCTATCCTGTTCCACTGGTCTATGAGGCTGTTCTTGTACCAATAATCTGGCTGTTTTATAGCCTTATAAAAAATTTTAAAGTCCAGAAGTATGATATTTCCTTCTTTGTTTCTTTTGCTAAGAGTTGTTTTGCTTTTTGTGGTCGTTTATGTTTCCATATGAATTTCTATATTGTCATTTCCAGGTCTAAGAAGAATGATATTGGTAATTTAATGGGGATTGCATTGAATCTATAGAGTGTCTTGATAGGATGGACATTTTAACAATGTTGATTCTTGCACATTGTTTGTGTCAACTTTGATTTCTTTGAGCAGTGTTTTGTAGTTTTTGTTGTAAAGCTCTTTCACTTCACTGGTTAGAAAGATGCTCTAGAACTCTGCTTCTAGTCAGTCCCCTGGAGGGATGAGACCTACCAGGGAAACCCCGGGCTCCTGAGACTAGAAGTTGCCCACAAACTCAATAATTTGAATAATTGAATGTACTAGCATAGGAACAGGATCCATCGAAATACACATTTTAGACATTATGCAACTTCTCATGAAGTGCAATGAACTACCTAGTAAAATATGATGCATTTTTGCTTTAAAAAAAAGTGTTTCATTATTATGGACAGTTTACAAAGAACAGTGAATAAAGAAACACTTTGAACAACACCATAAAGAAATAAGCAGAACCGGGCTCGGTGGCTCAGCCTGTAATCCCAGTGCTTTGGGAGACTGAGGTGAGTGGATTGCCTGAGCTCGAAGGTTCGAGACCCGGCTGGGCAACTTGGTGAGACCTCATCTCTACAATAAATCAAAAATGAGCCGGGCATGGTAGGCGCACCTGTAGTTCCAGCTACTTGGAAGGATGAGGCGGAAGGAACGCTGGAGCCCAGCAGGTTGAGGCTGCGGTGGCCAGAAGCGGCCCTACACTCCAGTCTGGGTGACAGAGTGAGACTCCAACTCAAAAAAAAAAAAAAGAAACAAGCAGAGCAAGATGGTGACAGAACTGGTCAGAGCATGAGGGTCTCCTCAAAAGCAAGTGCCCATAAAGACTGTCTGCGAGAGTGGCTGTGTGCTGGTAGGTAAGTGAAAGCCCATCTGAGGGAAGACTTGGGTTTATGCACCCGGGGCTCTCCTCTGGAGGTGACTGCAACCCACCACTGCCCTGAGATTGGAGCCCCCAGTGTGCAGGATGGTCTGCCACTCTTGAGGGTCTCAGAGATTACTATATACAGTTGTATGAAAACAAACTTGAAAACCTAAATGAAATGGAGGACTTTCTGACATCACACAACCTCCCCCAGTTGAAACGAGAAGAAATCAAGACCCTAAATAGACCAATAACACAGAAATTTGACTATGTCATAAGAAAACTACCCACAAAAAAGCCCTGGACCAGATGGCTTCTCAGCAGAATTCTATTATTTTTGGTTTTGTTTTTTTAGCGGGAGTCTCACTCTGTCATCCAGGTTGGAGTGCAGTGGCATGCTCACAGCCACCACAACCTCAACCTGCTGGGCTCAGGTGATCCTTCTGCCTCATCTTTCTAAGTAGCTGGAACTACAGGTACATGCCACCATGTCTGGCTAATTTTTTTATTTATTGTAGAGACGAGGTCTCACCAAGTTGCCCAGGCTGGTCTCGAATCCCTAGACTCAGGCAATCCTCTCACCTTGGCCTCTCAAAGTGCTGGGATTACAGGCTTGAGCCACCTCACCTGGCCTCCAGCATAATTCTACAAAATGTACAAGGAGGAATTGATACCAATCCTACTGAAAGTATTCCAGGCAACCGAGAAAGATGGAGCTTTCACCAAATCATTATATGAAGCTAAAGTCACATTGATACCCAAACCAGGCAAAGATCCAACAAAGAAAGAGAACTACAGGCCAATATCCTTGATGAAAATAAATGCTAAAATTCTCAAGATTCTAGCAAACTATATCTAACAATACATCTCAAAAATCATCCACCATAACTAAGTAGGCTTCATTCCCAGGTTTCAGGACTGGTTCAACGTCCACAAGACCATAAACATAATCAAATACACAAATAGGTGTAAAAACAAAAATCACATGATTCTATCATTAGATAAGGAAAAAGCTTTCAATAAAATCCAACATCCCTTCTTGATAAAAACCCTCGGACATCTAGGCATAGATGGAACATACCTCAAAATAGTAAGAGCCATGTACAAGAAACCCACAGCCAACATACTGCGGAACAGACAGAAATTGGAACCATTTCCCCTGAAAACCAGAACAAGACAAAGATGCCCACTCTCGCCCCTCTTGTTCAACATAGCATTGGAAGTCCTAGCTAGAGCAATCAGACAAGAAAAAAAATCAAAGGTATCCAAATAGGAAAAGAGGAAGTTAAGTTATCCCTCTTTGCAGACAACATGATTTTATACCCTAAATATCTGAGAGAATCTGTCAAAAATCCCCTTGCACTGATAAAGGACTTTGGCAAAGTCTCAGAGTATAAAATAAATGTGCAAAAGACAGTTGCATTACTATACACCAAAAATAAACAGACAGAAACCAAATAAAAAGCACAATCCCATTCACAATAGCCACAAAAAATGTAAATGCCTTGGCATCTTCCTAAGCAGTGAAGTGGCCTATTTGGATACTCCTGAAAGATCTTTGCAATGAAAACTATAAAACCCTGCTCAAAGAAATCAAAGATGACACAAACAAGTAGAAAAATATTCCATGCTCATGGATTAGAAGAATCAACATTGTTAAGATGTCCATCTTACCCAAGACAATCTACAGATTTAACGCAATACCTACTAAATTACCAGCATCATTCTTCTCAGACCTGGAAATGACAATACAGGAATTCATATGGAAACATAAATGACCATGAATAGCCAAAATAATTTTCAGCCAAAAAAAAAAAAGTGGAAGATGTCACACTCACAGACTTTAAATTTTTTTATAAGGCTACAGTAATCAAAACATCCTGGTATTGGTACAAGAACAGGCATATGGACCAATGAACAGGATAGAGATTCCAGAAGTCTATCTCAATTTCCCAATCAACACATCTTCGACAAAGCCTCCACCTTCAACTACTGGGGAGAGGAGAACCTATTCAGTAAGTGGTGCTGGTAAAACCGGCTGACCACATGTAGAAGATTAAAACAAGACCCCTACATATCACCATACACAAAAATCAACTCTAAATGGATTAAAGACCTAAATGTAAAACCTCAAACTATAAGAACCTTGGAAAACGCAGGACATACTCTTATAGAAATTAGAACTAGCAACCAATTCCTGATCAAAACCCCAAGTGCCCATTCCAAGAGATAGACAAGGGGACTTCATCAAACTGAAAATCTTTTGCAAAGCCAAAGAAACCATAAGAGAGCAGGGAGACAGCCCACAGACTTGGAAAAATATTTGCTAATTGTATATCTCACAAAGACCTAACATCTAGGATCT